CAGAAACCCTGTATTTTTTTTTTTAGCATCCAAAAAGTTCAGACATACTGTTCATGGTTTCTGCCACTAATTCCCTGGTTGAAATGCTAGTTCTTTGGTTGGGTCCTTGATATAATGGATCCCTCTTGAGGCAGAAACGTGATTTAGCTCTTTCTTTTACTGGGGATGCTGTGCAAGAATATTTCTGTGTCCCCCTCAGCACCTTCAGGAGAAGTCTGACATGTGACGCAAAGGCTTTTGTCTTTCTCTCTTCTCCAGAAGATACTGGAATCAAGAAACTAGACCAGAGAGGTTACATGGCAAACACACAATAAATATCTAATGAATGAATCAACAAATGAATAAATGCATCACTGAATAAAACAGTAGAGATATATAGTGCTAGTATGGTAGTGCTATTTTGACCAAAAATTTAAAAGCACTGATGTCCGGTCCTTTACAGTTAGAGAAACCTGTTGGGATATGCTGTGGGTGGAGCTAAAGGAAACAGGCTCTTTATATACAACAGAGATGAAGTATTAATTAGCACAACTCTTCTGGACAGCAATTTAGCAATGCTTACCAAGGCTTAAAATTGCTCAAACCTCAGTAATTCAATTTCCTCAAGAAAAAATAGTAAAGATAGAAAAGACTTTATGCACAAAGGTAGACATCATAATGCAATTTTTTACACCACAAATTAGAACATTCTAACTTATCTAGTTCCTCAATAGACAAATGGATGGACATCCATGATATATCCATTCAATGGGATAACCTGCAGCCATTAAAAATGAACTTTACAAGGACTATGTCATAAGACACAAACATGCCTTTGACAAAAACATACAAATTGTATAAATACCATGATTACAACTGTGTAAAAGAAAAACAGAAAAAAAGGCTAAAATGAAATACACCATCATACAGTGGCTCTGTTGAATGAGACCATATTTTTGTCCCTCTACTACTCTGGATTTTCACATTATCTTTAATGAAAATGTATTATATTTATAATAAAATGCAAGCATTTTATTCCTGTAGCACTAAGAGGGAGAGAGTGAATTGTGGTTGTGTCCGTAGTCAAGCACAGAGTGGGAAAATGAAGCTGACACATTTACACATTTTAAAGCACATTATTGTGAAAATCAATTACATTTGACATCCAAATGCCCCTCCCTCGAGTTCCTGCTGGTAAAGACTCGTCCTCACACCACAGCCTGTGGACTCCCAGCCAGAGCCCGTCCTCAGTTCAGTTCGCTAGTCCCCACTGAGTCCTGAACACAGACCGGAGTGTTGCCCACCTTCCTATCGGCCCTCTCTGTTTCTCTAGCCTCTCTTGTGCATCCTTGACACGTTTCCACGCTCCCCTCCTGGCTGTGGGACTTAGGTGAGTTACTTCATTTCTGTGGGCAGACCTTCTCCCTGTTCAGGAAGCAGCCGTGGGAGGGGCTGCGTCAGTCCCTGGGCTGCAAGGCAAACACTCACGTTTCCTAGGGAACACCTAGGATGGCAGGAACTAACCCCAGTGTAGACGCTTCTGGTGGAGATGTCAAGAGGTGTTAATTGGTTCAAATGGCCCTACTCCCACGAGCCCTTGCACAGCTGAAGTTTTTTTTCTCCAAAATGGTATTAGACTGGACTGTGTCTGAAAAATATTGTTTGCTCTTGGGAGGGAAGCGTGAGTGATTCCAGGCAGTCAGGGGTCCGAGTTGGATGATGATGTGCTGAAGGAGGAATAAAGAACATAGCTTCCCCTCCTGCTGGTGGCAGGGGCCTGGGCAGGCACAGGCAGAGAGCCTGAAGCCCAGGGACCGCTCTGCTGAAGCCTCTGCTGTGCCTTCAAATACAGTATTATAAACATCTCAGCAGAGCTGTGAGGCCAGGCCACTGGCTGGTGGGGAGATTTCCTTGAAAGAAGTGAATATTCCCTGCCGACCCCCCTAGGGCATGCCACACAGCAGCTACCCACCTTCCTCTTCTGGTAATGGGACCCCGATCCGCCCACAGATGTGCTTCCTCCTCACTGTCAGTCATTTTATACGAGTAGGCCTCCAAGCCCCTCCCTGGGGCTGCAGCATACCACCAAGGCCTGAGCCCACTGGCCCATATGGCACGGCCTTGGCCTCAGAGATGGGTTCAGTGATGGGCTCAGAATGATAGTACTGGCTGACACTGATAAAGTGCTTCCTCTGCGCCAGGCTCCGTTCTTAGGGCTTTACCTATCTTCACCGTATGTTAATTCAATTAGTCCTTACAGCAGCCTCATGAGGTTAAACTGTCATTATCATCCCGGTTGTCAGATGAGGAAACTGAGGCACAGAGGCAGTAAGCGACAAGCCCAAGTGACACAGCTATTGAGTGGCAAAACCAGGACTCATACTTAGGTTGTCTGATGCCAGAGTTCATGCTCTGAACACTATGCTCTTCAGCGACAGAGACAGGCTTTCTTCCTGAAGCCGAGGAGGAGGATGCTGCTGCCATCCTTGCTGCTGCATGAGACTGACCGTGGAGCGTGGAGCGCAGGCAGAGAGGGCGGAGCTGCCGATGGGGAGGAGAGCAGATGCTGGCTGGCGTCCCGGTGAGCAGGGAATTGGGTCATGTCTGCAGCCGGCGCAGTAATGTGGCCAACAAGTTCTCACATTCCCCATCTCCCCCTCCATTCTTTTTTTTTTCCTTATTGCAGTTTGAGTTGATTTGGGGTTACTTCCTCCCTGCCATGTTTTCTGTTTTCTCTAAGAAGTCCTATTAATTGGAGGTGGGATCCCCCCAGAAAATCCTCTTATTTTCTCCTTTTTCCTCTGCTATCACTCATCTATTTGTCTTTTTGTTCTACTTCCTGGGAGATGTCCTTAACCTTACCTTTTAACCCTTCTAATGAAAAATATGGGGATGGGGGGGTCTCAGTATCACATTTTTTATTTCTGGATTCTATTTTCCCAATTGTTCCTTTTTTATGGCATCTCGATTTTGTTTCATGGACACGATCAAGTCTCACTTCTCTGAGGACACTGGTTATAATTTTTTAAGTTGTCTGCTAGCCCCGGCATGATTTCAGTTTCAGCTGGGGATACAGATGTCTTTATTGGGTCATCTTGTAGCTGCCATTTACTTTGAAAATCCATGTCTGTTGCTTTCTCAAACCTGTACACCTCCAAAATCTCCCTTGGGAAGCGCCATTCAGATGAAAAAGTCTCCATCCACAGCCTCACACACACTCTGGCACCCCACCTTCTCTGTTTTCTAGGTTTTTCTAAGGAGCAAGGCAAACGTACTACTCCTGCTGTTGGCGGGTGCTCTCCGTGTGCTGACGAGGGGCTGTGGGAGGGGGTCTGGTCCCCACCTTCTTCAGGGGGGATTAACTGAGGCCAGGAGACAAGGAAACCCCTTTAGTCTGGTGCTGATGTCAATGCTTTTGTGTCTTTCACCATTGCCCTTGACGTGACCCTTAGTTTCACTCCTGGGAGAGAATTCATCCATTCACTCATTCAGCACTTATACTGAGGAATATAAGAAGCTGAGGACTCTTTGATGCCTGCCCCTAAGGACTCATTAATTATTTACAGCCTCTCCAGCGCCCACTCTCAGCGAGGGAGGGGCCCAGGCTCTTCAGCAGCCAGGGTGAGCAAGAGACGACTGACAGCGTTTAGCTCTGCTTTATGCCGGGCACTTACTAGATACTTCATATTATTATTATTATTTTTTTTTTTTTTGAGGAAGATTAGCCCTCAGCTAACTACTGCCAGTCCTCCTCTTTTTGCTGAGGAAGCCTGGCTCTGAGCTAACATCCATGCCCATCTTCCTCTACTTTATATGTGGGATGCCTACCACAGCATGGCTGCCAAGCGGTGCCATGTCCGCACCCGGGATCCGAACCAGCGAACCCCGGGCCGCCGAGAAGCGGACGTGCGAACTTAACCGCTGCGTCACCGGGCCGGCCCCCATATTATTTTCTCTCATTTTGTTAATCGTCTTCACCACTCTGCAGGTACATTTTACTAGAGCTATTTTTAAGATGAGAAACTAAAGTTCACAGCTAAGGAGTGGTAGGCCTAGGATTTCAACTCTGGTCTGAGTCCAAAGTTTGTGCTCATATAAGGCCTCCTCTTGGGTATATTTATCTCCATTTTAGAGATCAGGAAACTGAGATGCAGAGGTGTTCCTTATAAATTCTAAGAATCCTTGAGGTGGGCGACGAGAAGGCCAAGGCCTTGGGTAGGGGAGGTGAGATAAAGAGCGTATGCAGGAAAGGCAAATCATGCTGTTGCCCTCATGTTGCAGGGCCCACCTCCCACCAGGGACATTTTCTGTGATGAAAGGTGAGCTGTCGGGACCACAAAGGCTAGAATAATTACCAATAGCAGCCAGCTGTGGAAGAGGAAGGAGGTGTCCAGTCTTGTCTGTTCAATAGGACAATGACTCTACCTCCTAAGGATCTGCTCCTCCCCCTCGCCAGCTGCCTCGCTGACTCCCTTCCTAGCTGCCAACAGCATGAGATTCCTGCATCTGTGAGCCCCCTCAGTGGATCCATCAGAGAGGCAGCTCTGGATGCAGGGCCAGAGCAAGGGTCTTGGGCGGAAAAAAAGGCAATGGTAACTTCTTCCTTCTTGGCTTTCAACTGGCAGAACAAGAGTCGTTCCAAAATGCCAGAGGAGACTGTGCTTTCGCTTGGGCCTGAGATGCTTTCAATAATGCTATCTGATTAAATTTTCTGGAAAAGAAGAAAGTCACCAGACTCAAGGAGAAAACATTGTATTTTCCTAAGCTAGAGGATGCCGTCATAATCTGAACTTGGCCAGAGAAGAAAGGTCCAAAAAGTGATTTCATTCAGAAGGAAAAAAATGCCTAAAAGGAGAAAGTGACTTTGAAGACTAGGAATCTACCCCTACAAAAAGGAACAGGGTAGAGCCAGGGAGGGGCCCAGGGCCCGCGATGGAGTTGGCACACACAAATGTCTGTATTCAATAAACAGCCTTCCTGTGGCAGGAGAAGCCTACGTGGACAAAATCAACTGCTCCTTATTTTGTTTCGTCAGTTTTATTGGTCATATGTTCAGAATTCATTATATAAATCTTTCAAAATAACTAGATATTACAAGAATAGTTTACAATTCAGCTCTGATTGCACAAATACTTGACACAGGAAACCATCTTTACAAATACATATGTTTTCTTATAAGAATACTTTAATAAAGAAAATAAGTCTCTATACATCTTATAGCAAATTTTATGCAGTTTTCCCATTCAGCCATCACTTCAGGTTTTCTATCACAGCACGTCTGTCATGTCAATAAACTGAATTACAGTCTGCTGCTGCTCCTCAGTTTCAGCCACCATTGAGATTCACACTGTTAAGAGTCTTTACGCTTCTTTTTCTAATCTTTCCTGATCTGAAAGAATTCACGTGTTCAGGCTAGAAGAGGTAATTTCAACAACATTCCTTCTAAATATAACTTGTATCAGGCTAGACACTGCGCTGGGTGAATGGTCTCTCCACCAGCGGGAACAGCCGGTGGTTTTACCCTGCGGGATCAAACAGAGGGATAAAGTCCTTACATTCCTCATAGTGTCTAAACTGCAGACACGGAACTCTAGAAACAAGAGTTAAATACGAACATTAAGAAAGCTAAAACATTTGCTACTGATTGGAGAACACTTCTAAATTCAAGGCTCCTCCTAGGTGGGAGAAGACTTAAAAGAAATAAAGAATAAGGATGTGGCAGTAGTTCTGTAAAATACTGAAAAACTGAAAAAAGGTTAATCACTTAGGTCAGTGGTGTGTCATTTCCAGAAGACAGAGAATCTTATCTGTGGCTAGCTGAACTCAATATCTGACATTCTTCTTATGATGTGGCTTTGAAATAGCCTAATAAATACTCACTTGGCCAAAGCAAGTAGTCATTTAGGCCAAAGGAACGTTACAGAACACTGACCACACTAACCTGAAGAGACAGGACCCACCAGGGGAAACGTTTGGCATTCACTCCAATTCTTCACTGTTACTGAAAAGTGCGTCCACTTGGCAAAGCTTATCTTACTTTTCAGGTAGCATGAATTAAAACCAAGAGCCTAGCAGTATTCCACAGTCAATTTCCTGAGTACTCAGTTCCAATTATCCAACGTTCTTCAAAAGATTCTTTAATCAAGCCCTGGTCCAAAAAGAGATTTAACAGTACTTAGGGACTACAAGTCCCATTTCTCTTGATTTCTCTCTCTCCTACCCCAGTGTAACAAATTGGTATAGGTTTTCACCAAAATACTGCGCAGTAGTTGGAAACAAGTTATTTTGCATTACCGAAAGTGTTCAATCACATTAGAACGGGTCACATTTGCATATAACTAGGAGACAGCCACATAAGATCTACTGCAGTGATTTTGCAAATTCAGCATAGTCGATGTATCCATCATTGTTCTTGTCATCGTCTCTCAAAACACCATCTATTAAGTTAATCAGTTCATCTTCGCTCATTGGTGGTGCCTGTTCACTCCCTTCCTACAAAATATAAATTAGATAATAATGAGTTGCACATTTTCCTGGAAGTGCTTAGCTAATTTCCAACATGTCCATGCTTATACATGTCCAAGAACTCCTTCAATGTAGTATGTGGCTACTTCTAGGAATCCACAAACCATATGTCAGATATAGAGTCAACTGATAATAATCCGGTTTAGAAATTATATTTTCCAGTTAAAAGAAAGAGGCAATCAAAGTAGATCCTTGCTTATTTATTTTAAAAATGACTTTTCATTCTTTTCTAATTATAAGAGTAACACACGTTCATCGTAGAAAGCAAGGCCTGGCTTACACAGAATTCTGAGTTTCATGAATTCCATGACCCACAAACTCATCCTAGAGAAAAGCTCATAGACTAGGCTTTCCCGAGGGTCAGCTCTGGACACAACTTGCCCTGATGAAGCGGAGATGTTCTGCACTGGACATCACCTCAGGGTCAGAACAAGAGGAAGAAGGCACTGCTGACCAGTAGAACCTGCTAGGATCTTTGAGGTGAAGGCATTTCCCTGCTCCCAAAGCAGGTGGAGCACTCAGGCTGTGCTGAGTGCTAAGCCAATGCTGTTCACGTCCTTGGTTGACTCTCTCTGTGCCACGTCCACCCTTTCCTCTCCTAGTGCCACCAACATCCTCGCCTGCCAGGACTGTGGAATCCCAATTCCTCTCCCTGACGCCAGTCTCTCCTCACATCCACCACACTGCCTCCCGCAGCAAAGGATCTTCCCAAAACACCACACAGTCATGACATTCTTCCACGCAAAGTTGTTAGCGCTCCCCACTGCCTTCCAAGCAAACCCACACCTGCTCTCCTGGCAGCTAATGTGAGTGCACACACCTCACCAACCTTGTCTTTCTTCCTCTCTACAGACTGCAGTGTGGCAGAGCAGGACAGAATTACATCTGGAGAAGAAGATCTTGATTTCGGTTTCCTTACCTCTAAAATGGGAGTAACAACAATGCCTGCCCCTGCCCGTTCGCAGGCTGTTGCAAAGAGCAAATGAGATCTCCAGCCTACTTGCAAGTGCTTTGTAAACTGCTTTGTACAGAGCACTGCACCATATCACATAAATCCTCAATTACTGCCAAGGCTCTCGACCCCTGGAATCAGGTTCCACCGTTCTTCTCAAATAAGACAAGTTCTCCCCTGCTCTGCATTTGGAACGAGCTCTGTCTTTTAGGCACTGGTTCACAAACTCTGGGGTGCAGCAGAAATGCCTGTAGCACTTCTTAAAGCCCCGGGGCTTCTGCCACAGCAGGTCACTCTTTTCGAGAAGGAGCACTGCACAGGAAAAGAGGCAGAACAGTGGCGTGCAGAAAAAGGAGAAGCAGCAACACTGTTGTACAAGGACAGCACAGGTCATCATGACTGGGGACTGAATTACCAAAGGGAGGCCTTTCTGAGATGCTGCCCATTGAGCCACTGCCTGACCTACCTCCTTATGGACGTGAGTGATGGCTGTGGAGAGTTCTAGGCCGTCAAGCAAATTATTGCCGTCATAGTCATGCATTTTGAAATAATGGAGCTGCAGTTCTTGTGGAGACATCTCCGCCTCTGGTTTGTTGATGACACCTTCTAGATGCTCCATGATATGCCTAAAAACCAAGTTAGACTCAGACTACTTGGCAGCGACACCAGGATTATGCCAAAATCTTAAGGACTGAAAAGTTCAAGATCTTAAAATTCATCCATCTCAGAAAAACAAACAGAAACAGTGGCAGACCACACTCAAGGCTGACAGACACAGGCAAGGCCATGAACGGAGCAGGGAAAAAGTCAAACATTTCCTCTGTTATGCTGGCAAGATAATGGCTGTTTTTTCCTTATTATTTGAATGTTGTTATAACATTTTGGAGGGCTATCAATTTAAAAAAATAATTTTAGGGGCCAGCCCTGTGGCCAAGTGGTTAAGTCCACACGCTCCACTCCAGTGGCCCAGGGTTCGGATCCTGGGCGCGGACATGGTACCGCTCATTAGGCCACGTTGAGGCGGTGTCCCACATGCCACAACTAGAAGAACCCACAATTAAAATGTACAGCTATGTACTGGGGGGATTTAGGGAGAAAAAAGCAGGAAAAAAAAGCCCCCAATTTTAAAAAGCAATTTAAGGATAACAATAACGTGTGAGGCTAACTTGCCTGGGACAAAAGTTGCAACAAATGATTCAATGTTTGAATGTTTCAATAAAAAAAGAAAAAAGTCTTGTCAGAGTCAAGAAACCTTATTAGCTCTATCCTGGATTCTGCCACTACTACTGCGTGTGTGTATATAGTGGGAGTGTGTGAGTGAGTCTGTGTGTGTGTGTGTGTGTGTATTTGCGGTGAAAGAGAGAAATGGACTGAATTCAGGCAAGTCATTTATCCCATCTAGGCCTCAAGATTCCTCATCTGTGATACGATGATGCAAAAAGAATATCTGATTTACAAGTCACAATAAGGACTAAATATCATCCTTGAGAAATGTCAGGGATGGACCCCAGCCCTGGCTGAATACATACTCTTGATCATGCACTGTGTTCTTATCCAAGCGCATGCTGCTGGGATGGGAAGGGCTGGCTCCGGGCTCCTCAGCCCTGACACCTGGGACACAAAAGGCCCAGAGCAGGCCGCACAGGAAGGGGGTTCTGAGCAGCTGCAGAGATCTCATGGTCACTGGTACCTGGGAGGTGGAGAACACAGAAGATGAAGGCGAGAACACCAGAGCTAAGGTTCTTTCAAGACTTGACACAGTGCACTCCTGGGAAACCCACTGAAGAAGCAAGGTTGGGGAAGAGAACACGTCAAACTGGGCCCAAGGCCAGCTCTGTCACTCGACTGTGGGATGACCTGGGCACTCCAGGTCCCTATCACTCAAGTGGGCACGTTCATGACATTTCCTGAAGCATCTTCAGAATGCCGAGCAACTCAATGAGAGCTGAAAGGGATGTGAGGATTATTCCTGCCTACAAGACGCTTACAGTCTAGCGACAGAAATACTTCCTACTGAAAGCACTTATAAAGACAGCAAGTGAGGTGGAACAAAGAAGGATAAAACCCTTTGAGAGCTCAATGAAAGAAATGTCCTCTTTTCTTCAGAGGGAAAATCAGAGAAAGCTGATGAACATGGGGACTCTTCAGCTAGGCCCGGATGGATGAGCATGCTGTGGACATGCAGGGACTGAAGGACTAAGGGAATGGTTCGAGCAGAGTGGCAGGTGCAGACAAGTGCAAAAGAAATGCCAAGTCGTTTAGTCAGGCTGTGGCCTACAGGGCATAAAGCAGGCAGAATAGTGGACAATAGGCTGCAAAGGTTGACTAGGCCGTATTGATGTGGCTTTGCACACTAGGCCAAGGGGGTTGGAGTTTCATGAGGATACATGGGAGCTACTGAGGATTCGTGAATGGAAGATGAGATCAGAGACTGGTTTCAGAACGGCTAATGTGGCAGCACAGCAGTGGTGTAAGACCAGAGTCAGGAATGTGGTTGTTGAGGGAAGGGATGGGGCGGCCAGATTAAGGCGTGCAGCAGTGGACACGGAGAAGAAGATGTTAACTTCTGCCCTGTCCATTTCTCAGGGCTGTGACAGAGGCAAGTAACTTACAGACTGAAAGAGCATCAGAAAGGAGAATTACACAGACATTTGGATTCCATCAAGTACTCCTGGGGTTTGGCTAGAGCTGGAATTGTGGTCAAGAACAAGAAGACAGTCAGCTACAGAGCAAGCTCCCTGAGGGCAGGGAAGGCTTTGCTCCCATTAACATTCCCCAGCAAGGCTCAGGCAGGCCTTCACTAACTTTTGTTAAACTGAATGCCCTGGTCCTTTCGGGGGCTCATAGACTGACTTCAAAAAGGAAGGTGAAGGACAGCCAGGACACCTCCAAACAAACACAGAGAAAAGACCTGACTTACACATTTACTCCAAAAAAGGCAATGCAGATTCTGCAGGATAACAGGGGCCACTGATTTCTAAGGGCCCAACTGTGGCCATAGCCCCAGATCTATAGCAGCAAAGAGAAAGCATAGGTGCCGGTCAGACCGTTGCACATGCTACACACAGAGCTCAGCTATGAAGCTGTCAGCACGTCTACTCTCTCACCCATCCTAAAAGGCTCTTTAGCACTTACATAGTGACGGACAAGAAAAAATGTACAACTGAAATTTCACAATGATGTAAACTATTACGAACTCAATAAAAAAAAACTTAAAAAGAAAAAAGGCTCTTTAGGGTGGGACTCTGGGAGAATGTCATCCCACAATGTTTAGGAAAATTTCCCAAACCCATTTTGCCTATCAGCAATATCACCTCCCATGGCCCTCACCCTAAGGGGACAATAGTCACTGGGATGTATAACTTCCAGAGTGCTAGAAAGCAGCACCTAGTCTTACTACTGAAAAGGGACATTGTAATGCAATCTGTCATACTTAGTAATAGGAAAAGATGTTCAATATATATCAAACAAAAAAGAGCAGGCTGTAAAGGTCTGTAAAGAATAATTCACTTTTATAAAAAAAGGTATGTATATTTCATACATAGAACAGTGACTAAAAACTATTAACAAAGATTATTTTCTGAATTATGAGGAGTGGTTTTGTTTCTTTTTTAAAGATTGGCCCTGAGCTAACACCTGTTGCCAATCTTTCTTCTCTGTCTCCTCCTTCTTTGTCGTCTTCATTGTCTTCTTCTCCCCAAAGCCCCAATACCTAGTTGTATATTCTAGTTGTAGGTCCTTCCGGTTGTGCTGTGTGGGACGCTGCCTCAGCATGGCCTGATGAGCAATGCCAGGTCCACGCCCAGGATCTGAACCGGTGAAACCCTGGGCCAACGAGCAGAGCGCACAAACTTAACCACTTGACCACAGGGCTGGCCCCTGAGGAGTGGCTTTGATATTTCTTTTTCTCACTTTTCTATTGCTTCTAAAATTTCTACTATAAACATGTTTTTTCTTTACAAACATGTATTTAATGCAATTTATCCCACAATTTTGTTCCAATACTATATGGATAGCATTAAAAAAGGGGTTTCCGTTTAATTCTCATCCCTAGAAAATAATTCGGGAACAGAAATTACATTTCCAATTTCACCAAATAAAAGTGTCCATACCCACAAGGCCACTGCCATTGTACCTGTTACTAGAAAAGAAGGACTCCAGTGACTCTTAGAGTGACTGCCTAGGCCAGGGCAGCAGAGCTGGTTCTGAGCACACACCTTAGGGCCCTGGGACAGGAGGGACCAGAGAGGGAAGCCCTTCAGACTATACACCTTAGCTGTCTCTTTCCCCGGCAAGCCTTCCTCAATTCCAAGTCTGGATTAGGTGTTCTTCCCACATGCTCCTGAGTGCTTCCCTCCGGAAAGGTCCCATCTGTCACTGACCACTGACGACAGCTGTGAACTGACCTTGAACACTGCCTGATTACCTGTAAGTGCCCTGCTGGACTGAACTCTGTGAGGGCAGGGACTGAATCCATATTCCCAGCCTTGGGCACAGCGCCTGGCACAGAGGTTGGTGGCTCTTAGCCTGTATGTGGTCCTTGGGGGCTGGGGGGCTTCCTACTTTCACAGATATGCTGCTAAATTTTGATGTCAACGTAACTGAGCATAAAACTTTTTTTTTTTTTTTTTTGCAGATATCTATCAGAGAGTTGAGTGATCATTGAACCCATGGTACCATTTCCTATAATTACGGGGTGGATGTTTAGTATATCAAATTGGAGTGTGTGTGTGTGTGTGTGTGGAGGGGGTTCTAGTCAAATGACACCAAAAAGCAACCAAGTGATTGGTAATACAGTAACTATGGGTTCAAATTATCCCTTCTTCAAGGGAGGCAGAATAAAGGCCAAGAACCACTGATTTTGAATGTGTCCCACTTGGGTTGGTTGTTGTAGGCTTCTATTAGAAGACAACAAAAGCCAAATCCACAAACAGAAGAGAAACTCTCCCTTCGAGCTCTGCAGTGGGAACAGGGAATCTGACTGTCACCCAGCAAATTCAACTGTCACACTTGAAAAGAAACACAGGAACTGCCCTTCATCCAAAGAACAAGTTGCATCACCCACACCCTAAGCGCTCAGCTCAAGGCCGTGAGCCAAGAGCCCGGCAGATAAGCCTGGAGTCCTGAGCTCACTGGCCTTCCCCGAGAGATTGTAAAGGCCAGGCTGGAGAAGAATCCAGAGAGAGATTTCTGACGGAGACTTCAGAACACAACGCAGGCTTTGAGACATCCTTCACCAGGAGAAGCCTCAGTCCCAGGAGGGGAGCGCTGGACCATTGTCAGTAGTGGGCCTCCCACAGGGCCTTAGACTCCAACAGGGCTCCCCTCACTGCTCCAGCAGCCTCTTCCAGTCCCAGAGCCTTTGCTCCCACTGGTTCCGTCTGTCTGTCCTCCCCCTTCCTTCCAGGCCCAGTTTAAATGTCATCTCAAGATTCTTCTAGCCAAGACCAATTGTTCCCTCCTCTGACCTCACTCTGCGGCCTCTCACACTCATTCGGCCGTAACATATGGTCACATACGGTTCTCCTTTTCTGTTTTTCTCTTTTCCTCCCTCTGTGAGGGCCGGGTACCTATCTTCTCTGTCTCTCCTTTACACTACTGAACTCATCGCAAAACCCTGAGCTGACCTGAGGACAGCATGCCTTCGTGCTGAATCAGGGCAGTGGGTCTCAGCACCTAGGTGTGCTGTTCCTTATCACAGAGGATCTGGCCTAAGCTGGAGAAATAACTTCCCTTTGGAATTCTCCTACCAGTGGTTTAGCCTGGCCCACCCTTCCCTCCCATTGTATTGCTAGTTGGGTCTCTCAGCACATAACAGTCTGGAGCGAGCCTTCCTTCCCTTCCATAAAGACCACAGCAGCTGTTAACAGCTTTTCTTTCATGCCAGGGGCCCTCAGTTAAGAATTCAAACTCAAAGCAGCCACACTCACCAAATTCAAACATCCTGTACCCAGAGCCAACAAAAAAAGAAAAGCTCTGACCCTGACCGGTACTGCCCATTTACCACTGCCATGGTCCTGGACTAAAGGCAAGAAAAGAACCAGGTTCCTATGTCAAAGAAACAGCGACATGGATTGGGGGTGGAGAACTTTCTGAAAAGCAGGCATTTAATAGCCTGATCTACTTGCTCATTTAGGGAGCCCAAGGAGCTGCTGGGCGTTATTTATACACTTAACTAACACACTCTTTACTAGCAGCCTGGTGCTGCACAAGGTTCTGAGGACAGGACTGTGAGACAGACAGGCTCCTCTCACATTGATTACAGCCTGGCAGAAAAGAGAGACCAGGAAACAGACATCCCTGGGGTACTGCAGAAGCCAACCCACACCTAGACTATACATGAAGGAGGAGAAAAATTTTTTCAACTAAAGGATAGTACCCCAGGTAGAGAGAACATGTAACAAACACCTAATGTAACAAATGCCAATGTAACACACACCTAAGCCTAGAAGAAACTTGGTCCAATCCAGAAACTAAAAAAGGTTCAATATAGCTGAAGACACAGTAGAGTGGAGACGGATAAGCGAGAGCAAAGTAGAAAGAGGACAGGTCATATAGGACCTTGTAAGCCCTGTTCAGTAACTTGGAGGAACAGTGGGAATTCACTGAAAGGCAGAAAGGGAAGGGGGAGGGGTCTGGTGACATGACCAGATTTGTGTTTTAAGACCATCACGCTGGCTTTCCAGTATGTAACAAACTACACAGGATCAAGAAGGATGCAGGGGACCAGTCAGGAGGCTACTGAGGTAGTCCAGGGGAGAGATGACGGTGGCCTGACCTAGCTAGAGCAGAGGGACTGGGAACGGAGAAGTGGACGCACTCTAGAGAGATCTGTGAAGGATTCGACATGGGTGGGTAAAGAGGAGCAGGAGGTGAGATGATGCCCAGGTTTCTGGCTTGGGCACTGGGTGGATGGCAGTGCCATGCCCGGACAGGGAATACAAGAGGAAGTCAGCTTCCCCCGCCTTCCCGCTCCCCCTGCACAGCCCGGCCACGTTCGTCCGGCCGGACAGGACCTGTTTGTTGTCTCTCCCCGAGGGTACCAGCAGCTGACGGAGAGTAACGCCCCAGGCACGCAGGCAGGTCCATGGCAGGTCCTCCCAGCGGGTGGGCATCGGTCCCTGCCGGGACCATCTGGCTCCAAAGCGCCCAGCGGCTTCTGCCCCGGGAGACGGGGAGAGAGGCTCTGGTCCCGGCTGGCTGAGCTTCCCGAGGCTGCGTGGGGGCCGAGACTCCCACCCAGGCCGCTCCTGCCTCCCACTTTGAGCCCGAGGCCCCGAGCTCCCCAGAAGGGCGCCGCGATCCCGCCCCGCTGCGGACCCCCGAGTGCCGCCCCCGGGACCTCCTCCCCAGGGTCGAGTGACTCGCCTCGCTGCTCGCGGGTCCACTCACCCTCGCTGTTTTTGGCTGCCAAGGAGCTTTCTGCAGACGCGAACACCTCCCGCGTGAGCCTCACCAGCCCCCGTCCTCAGAACGCTTTTTCTCGGCCCCGCCCCGCCCCGCCGTACGCACGCGCGCCCCCTTCTGCCCGCCCATTGGCGTAGCGGGGCCCCGCCCCTGCCCGGCGCTCGGCGCTGTCGGCGAGTCGGGAGGGTCCACGTGTAACGGGCTCGGGCCCAGCGGGGGCCGGGCAGACGCTGTTCTTCTGCCTGCCCTCCCGAAGGCGACACTCGACTCCAGCCTGGGTGGGGCCACCTGACCCCCAGGGCCCGGCAGGTTGCTAGGCAACCTCGGAATACCCCAGGAATGTAGTCCGGCGTGCGACGTGGGATTCCGAAAACGGATGGGGAGGATGCCAACCGTGGCTTCCAGCTCCGCCTCCACCTCCTCCACTTTTATAGGAGCCTCGGTTCCTCCGACTGCAAGGTGTGAGGAAAGTAATAGGAATCCTAACTCCTCTACTAATGAAACAGCCAAAAGACGGCGGAGCCGGCCTTGGGTCCTGCATTTGCAAGATTGGCCTGCTTCCAGCCTCTGCTTTCTCCATTCTGCAAGCCACGTTATTTGCAATACCTAATCGCTCGTCTAGGAGTCCCACTAAGACTACATGGGTAGCTCACTGCAAATACCACCTTACCTGTGCAGTTCGTGAAATCAGCTACTATCTCGATTGAAGACAAAGCACTTCAGAATAACCAGACGCATAAATAAGGAAACGAATAGATAAGCCCCGCAATAATTCTGCTCTTACACCGTTCTTCCTATACAAGACGGTAATCCAGTGAATATCTGTTGACCAGATGGGTAAGTGAACGTGGGACTGTCATTTTTTAAATCCTTTCTCCCATTTGTGTCCATAAAAATAGATAATCATTTTCCATATGAGCGAGGGTCCAGAAAAGGAGAGGCAGGGAAAGAAAGAAAGTGGTTAAGTAAGTAGATGATCCTAGAGCCCTCCCTGCAGCCTGCTTTAGCAAATCAGTCCCTTGAAAAGCTGGCCAAGGCAACTGCCATTGGCATTGCCTCATTCCTTCTCCCACCTTGATCTGAGTTGGAAATCTGTCAGCTCTTTCCCAGAGAAAAATCCCAGGATCCCAAAGTCCCTGAAGAAACCTTGTTAATTCAAGACCCCTTCTCCTTTCCTCACTCTGAAGTTTGAATTAGTTTGATCTAGTTCATTCTCCAGCTTTGCATCTGCCATCCATCCGTTCTTCCATTTGCTCATCATTAATCAGTAACATTTCTTGAGTATACCTCATATGTACTAGGCACTGTGCTAGGAGTTACTAAAGATACAAATACGAAGAAGACATGGTCTCTTCCTTCAAGAAGCTGAGTCTGATAGAAGGATAAAGTGTTCTCCTTCTATTTAACCAATTCACTTTTTCTGTGGATCTGATCCTGTCATCTCTCTCTTGAATCACCAATTGCTCCCTCTCTTATTAGAGACCATTCCCGTCATCATATAAGCTTGCCCTCTGGTTTCTTCGCCACCACGCTACTGAAACTGCAATCTCCATGCAAATCCAGTGGTACCTTCTGTTTTTACTTGCCCGCTCAGTGCTGCTCATCACAGTCAACCACTTCCGCCTTGAAACACTTTCTTCTTGTTTTCTGACACCATACACTCTTGATCTTCTTCTGACCTCACTGGGTATTCTTTCTTGAGTTCTTTTCACTGACTTTGTGTCTTCTGCTCAACCTATAAATATCAAAGTGCCCAGGGTTCTATCCTGAGTCCCTTTCTCTTCTCTCCCTACTCAGTCTCCTATGATTTCATCTAGTCTTGTGGTTTTAGGTACCATTTATTAGCAGATGACTCCAAAATTTATGTCTCTAATGATGACCTCTGCCTGTAAGTCCTAACTCCTCTAAATAACTGCCTACTTGACATCTCCCCGTGAATGTCCAACTGGCATCTCAAACTTAACTTGGCCCCCCAGAATACTAATTTTACCCCCAAACATATACCTCTCTGTTTTGTCCATTTTAGTCAATGTCACTGCCACGCATTTAGTTGTTGAAGCCAAAATTCTAACAACTGTTCTTATTTCCCCTCTAGCTTTGTCGAGGTAAAATTGACATCCAAGAAACCATCATCTGCTACCTGGACTATGGCGACAGCTTCCTGACCACCCTGCCTGCCTCCATTCTTGGCCCATTCTACTCCATACGTTTATTTAAGTCATTCATAGGGGAGTGTTCTATGACTTGTAGCTGAAGCCATTCCCTAACAGGCAAATATTTGGCACCAGAAGTAGGACACCAAAAACAGACACTAAAATGTGGAATTGGCTAACTGAAGGTTAAGGTAGCCAGTGGTGGTGACTTTCTATTCCAAATTAGAAAGTTAGTGACCAGCTTGTTAAGCAGTAGTGAAACTGTTGAACTGCTGTCACTTGCTAGGCCTTGGATGCAAACCACATGCCAACCAAGGCTGTATTGTAGGAGAAATCTCAGGAACAATAGAGAACATTAGTGAGTGTTGGATTTTTTTTTTTTCCAGTGGCTTTAGCAAAGTCTTTCAAGAGAGTGGCAAATCTAGATTAGACATAACTGGTTTGAAAGCAGAGATTAAAGAAAATAAGGCCTTGGTAAGAGAGAAAGTCCTTACCTGCAGCTGATAACCTAAATTGGTCAAGTCCCTCAACTTGAAGCCTTGCCAAGTTGAAATAAACAATTTTCTTTGTATACCCAAGCTGAAGCCAGTGCAGGTGGAGAAGGGAAAGAGGCAGCTTTATCAGGAGATAAAAGTGAGGCCCAAAGTAGAAAAGATGGACTACAGGTGGCATCTCCACCTGCAGGTGTTGTTTTGAACAGCCTCAACTGCAACTAAGCACACAGAGACAAGCCCCTAGAAGATTTAAACATTCTAATACTTATTTTTGCTTGTTTTGCAAAAAGAAACATGAAGTATACACAAGAAACTAATAAAAGAGAACAGAGGTGATAATAAGACCTCAATTTACACCTTTTTGTATTGCTTTGATTTTTTTTTTTTTTTTTTTTTTTGGTGAGGAAGATTGGCCCTGAGCTAACGTCTGTTGCCAAACTTCCTCTTTTTTTAAAAGACTTTATTTTTCCTTTTTCTCCCCAAAGCCCCTGGTACATAGTTGTATATTTTTAGTTGTGGGTCTTTCTAGTTGTGGCATGTGGGGTGCTGCCTCAGCATGGCTTGATGAGCAGTGCCATGTCTGTGCCCAGGATCCGAACCAGCGAAACCCTGGGCTGCTGTGCAGAGCACGCGAACTTAACCATGCAGCCACAGGGCTGGCCCCATCTTTTTTTTCTCCGCAAAGTCCCCCAGTACATAGTTATATATCCTAGTTGTAGGTTCTTCTAGTTCCTCCATATGGGGTGCTGTCTCAGCATGGCTTGATGAGTGGTGCTAGGTCCACACCCAGGATCTGAACCAGCAAACCCTGGGCCACCAAAGCCAAGCTCACGAGCTTAACCACTCAGCCGTGGGGCCGGCCCCTGCTTTGATTTTTTTAAAAACAAAGTAAATATATTACCTCTTTGGGGAAAATAATTTTTAAATCTTTCATTAGAAAACCATTTAAAGACTCCCTGGATATGTTATTTGATTGTGATTACTCACATGTGGAACTGATCAGAAGCCTAACAGATAATTGAGGGAGTCCCGTGTCCCTAAAATCTCAAGCCTGGTCAACACTGGTCTCTTATTGTTTTTTGTTTTTTTTTTTAAATTCCCTCAGTATTTGTTTGTCTGAGGAAGTCTTTATTTCTCCACTTTTTTTTTAAGATTGTATTTTTTCCTTTTTCTCCCCAAAACCCCCAGTACATAGTTGTATATTCTTCATTGTGGGTCCTTCTAGTTGTGGCACGTGGGACACTGCCTCAGCGTGGTTTGATGAGCAGTGCCATGTCCGCGCCCAGGATTCGAACCAACGAAACACTGGGCTGCCTGCAGTGGAGCGCGTGAACTTAACCACTCGGCCACAGGGCCAGCCCCCGGTCTCTTATTGTTTAACAAGGGAGCGGCTGCCAGATTCCCCAGCCAAGGACTTAACACTCTGCCACGCAGAGACCCTTGCTGTTTCTGTCCAGCGGGATTGGATGGCATTTGCTGACTGGGGTATACTATGTTTTTCATTCTCTGTTTTTCTGAAAGGAAGCTTTTATTGTTTTTTTACATTGTGTATTGAATGTGTTTCCCTCTGGGGTTGTTTTGGTGTTGTTGTTTTTACATTTTATTGATGTATAGTTGTACATGAACAAAACACTCCTGAGGCTGGTCCGGTGGCGTAGTGGTTAAGTTAGCATGCTCTGCTTCGGCGGCCCAGGGTTTGTGCATTCAGATCCTGGGCACGGACCCACGCACCACTCATCAAGCCATGCTGTGGTGGCATCCCACATGCAAAATAGAGGAAGATTGGCAACAGATGTTAGCTCAGGGCCAATCTTCCTCACCAAAAAACAAAACAAAAAAAACCCCAAACCCACAATCCTGTGTTTTCCTTTACTCACACACACAATAATTCTGACAGCAGATATATGGGGTTTTCCCCCACACCAAGCAATTCCCTGTGACACCAACTGGGTGTCCCACAATGCAATTCAATTCTGACACTAACTGGAGTTAGTGCAGACTCCACAGGTTAAGGGTTCAGTCCCATAAAACTGTCACCCACTTCAGATGCCAGTCACAAGTAGTAGGTCCCCAGGTTACCACCCCTGTCCAACTTGGCTAAAAAATTAGAGGTTCCCATGACTCCTTCCTGGGATTCAGTCATTTGCTAGAACAGCTCATAGGACTCCGGGAAACACTTACATTCACCACTTTGTTATATCATAAAGGATATAGATGAAGAAATATGTAAGGTGAGGTCTGGAAGGGTCCCAAGCACAGGAACTTCTGTCCCTGTGGAGTTGGGGTGTCCCCCTTCCCAACACATGGATGTGTTCACCAACCCAGCAGCTCCCGGAACCCTGTCCTGTTAGGATTTTTATGGAGGCTTCCTCACTTGGGCATGATTGATCATTAACTCCATTTCCAGCCCCTCTCTGCTTCCTGGAGGATGGGGGATGAGGTGAAACTTCCAAGCTTCTAACCATGGCTTGGTTTCTGGTGACCAGAGCCATCCTGAAGCTATCAAGGAGCCAAGGAGTCACCTCATTAGAACAAAGGACACTCCTGTCACCCAGGAAATTCCAAGGGATTTAGGAACTGTCTGGAACCAGGGTCAAAGACCAAATATTAGAACAAAAGGTGCTCCTAGTGCTCTTATCACTTAGGAAACTACAGGGGTTTTAGGGGCTCTGTGCTAGGAGCTGGAGGCAGAGAACAATATATATATGTATTTTCTATTTCACAACAGTATACACAAAAGTGCACACATAGAAAAGCATGTAGCTCAGTGAATTTTCAGAAATTGAACATACTTTTTTTTTTTAGAAAGATTAGCCCTGAGGTAACATCTGCCACCAATCCTCCTCTTTTTGCTGAGGAAGACTGGCCCTCAGCTAACATCCATGCCCATCTTCCTCTACTTTGTATGTGGGATGCCTGCCACAGCATGGCTTGCCAAGTGGTGCCATGTCCACACCCAGGATCCAAACCGGGGAACCTGGGGCCACCGAAACAGAACGTGCAAACCTAACTGCTGCGCCACCAGGCTCCCCATGAACATACTCTTATAACCAGCACCCAGATCAAGAAACAGAAAATTACCAACACCCTGGGGGTCCCTTGTGCTCCCTTCCATGCACCACCCTCTCCCCGAAAGGTAACGGTTGTCCTCGCTTCGAACACCATAGAGCAGTTTTGCCTGTTTTTGTATTTTCTGTAAGTGGAATCACACACCACATACTCTTTTGTCTATGACTTCTTTTACTCAGCATTATTTTGAGATTCATCCATGGCGTGTAGATTTAGGTGATTCATTCTCCTTTCTATATGCTGTTCCATTCTGCTGTCAATGGACATCTGAGTAGTTTCCAGTTTTAGGCTGTTACAAACAATGCTGCTGGAACGTTGTGGAACATGTCTTTTCTTGCACATCTGCTCAGAGCTCTGTCAGGGATTGACCTGGGAGTAGAACTGCTGGCTCGCAGGGAATGCAGATGTGCATCTTTATTAGATATTGCCAAAAGCTTTCCCAGGTGCTGTGTCAGTTTATACTCCAGCAAGAGCATATGAGTGCTCTATTGTTCTCTATTCTCCCCTACACTTGGTACTTTCCCTCTTTTTCATTTTAGCAGAAAATGAACTTGTCCTTTAGCTTAAATCACTGGATGATGAGAAGCCACATCTGGACCTGAAAGAGGGTCCTGCACATGGTACCTGGACTCCAAGCTGTATGTAAGACTGGTTGAGACTTTAGGATTATCTCCATTATGGAGTGAGTACATCCCGTATCAAATGTGTACATAGGAAATAGGGGTGTGCATGGTTTTTAGGTAACTAAAGAGCTGTACTGGGCCGACTCTGGTGAGTAGACCGGGTGGTAGCCCAGTTTCCATTTTCAACCCCTTCCTCTCTTGTCTATCTACACAATAAAGGCTAAAAAACATCGAACACTCACTTTCCCATCTCTTTTGCAGCTAGATGGCCACGTGACACAGTTCTGGGCAATGAGACATAAAAGGTGCTTGGGAATTCTTTTGCTTTTCTTATAAAAGAGACAAGTGACTGGGGCAGACCTTTCCCCTTGTCCCAGCCCGGAATGGCTGTGTACCGCCTCAGCAGTCATCCTCAACCGTGAAGGAAGTGGAGAATTTCAGAAAGTCTTCCCCAGCACTGTAGAGCTGCTGAACCAGCACCAGCAGCTGCTTGCCTCCAGATGTCCTGTGATGTGGGGAGAACTCCTGTTTGTTTAAGCCACTCTAAGACAGTTGCTTGCTCTCCAAAGCATTCCTAAGTGACACAGAGGTCAAGCAAGATGTAGACTCAAATAGGAACTGAGTTTATCAATGTGAGGTCACTGAGGGCTCAGAGGGCAGTTTATGTGGAGTACTGGGCAGCAGCCAAATTACGGTGGGTGATCACTGGCTGGTAGGTAAGCCCTGGGCCCAGCAAGAATGGGCAAGTCTTTCAAGCACTGGTTGTAAAGGGAAAGGAAAGTAGCTAGAGGGAGAGCGGGACACAGGATCCAGGAAGAGTTATCTTCAAGATGAGGGCCTTGTGTATGTCTAAATGCTTTGGGGGAGGAACAGCAAAGATGAGATTGAAGAGACAGCAGAGTGCACAAAATTGAAAGGATAAGGTTATTGAGGAGGCAGGAGAGAATGGATCCAAAGCCCAGATGGGGGTCAGCCTGAGATTTGGGAGGCACGGCTATTTTCTGAGAGTGCCGTGATTGAGGGAGGGGTGGGGACACTGAGTGGGTCAAAGTTTGAAATCATCATTGTGTAACTGGGAAAGCAAGTTGCCTGGGGGAGACAGGAGACTTTCTGGCCCGAGTTGAAGGCCCAGTTGAAATCGGAGAATGTTCATTTATAATGGTACCGTTCACATAATGATTTGATTATATACAATGGTTAATGTACATTTCTTGAATTTTAATTAAAAATTTTTTTGCGTCTAAGTTACACAAAGACATGGCTAGAAAAAAACAGAAAGTTGTCTAATAAAAAACCAAGTTCCTCTCTCTCAATTACCAAGTCTTGCCTCTCCTACTAGCTGCTGTTTATGACTACACCGGGGTTAAGAAGTGGGGAGGAGTGGAGAGCGTAAGGGGGATGAGGAAGTTCTTACTTGACCAGTAGAAGTTGGCTCTTCCTTCCACCCTCCATCTGACTGCTGTTTAATGCTGATTCACTCCCAGAGGCTTTTGTGTGGCTCCTCTGTTGGAGCCCTTACTGCATGCAGTTCCCTTGCCATGGGCAGCACCTCTCTCAATACCTGGTTTCCCCTAGCACTCCAGCAGAAACCCTTTGGAGCAGAATCCCTTTAAAAATGATCCCAAGCTGCTTCAATGGCTCATGACTTGGGTTGCATTTAAGAG